AAAAGTAATATCTTTTATTAGATCATCCAATAGTTAGGGAAAAGTCAAGCCTTGGGCGCACAAAACCTCCTGGAAAACTTGTCTGACTTTTTCAATGACGTTGATATTAACTCTACCTGCAAATCCTGCTTTGCTTTGCCTACTTCCACGACGAATGCCATCTCTAGAGGTGACCACTTCTCTACATTTGAGAGCTTTCCACCCTCAGCCTTCTGCTCTTTGCTGGAGTATTTTTTGCTGCTGGGCTAACAAGGTAAGAATAATCAGTGCATTTATCACACACTGTTTCTCTTACTTATTTATACCTTTTCACTACTTTCAGGCTGCTTTGTCCAAACCCATGCAGCAAAGCTGGGTGCACCAGGAGGCAAATCCTCACTCATGATTTGGGACCTTTGCTTTGACCACCTGGAAATGTATTCTCCCTTTCAGGTCAAAAACTGTGAGGAAATCATGGTGACAGTAATGAAGAACTGCTTCATAGCCTCATATATGAGACAGTCTAAATCCAGGTCTTACATGCAGTTCCACAAATAGGTCTTTAATTTCACTACTGGGAATGTTTCACAACCCCAGTAATTTCCATACAGAGGAAAGAGATTAGGAGACACTCTTCTCCTAGTATACATGGATTACTTTCCTTTGTTCTTGATGGTCTCAAAACCTTAAACAGCCAAAGATAAGTTTGCCAAACTCTTCCAGGAACTATCTAATCTTTAACTTTTCATCAAAACATGACAAAATAACACCCTGAATGAAAACGTTTCTCTTCAGCTGAGCTGGAAACTGAAAATGTTTGGTTGCTTTTCCCTAAAAAAAAAAAATAAAAAAGTGGGGGAAACTGCACCAGTTGCAAGAAGTTGCACTGCTCCAAAACCCAAGCACTGAAACACAAATTTTTCTTCATTTATTCCATAGCTGAAACAATTTAGATTTCACACAAATGTAAGTATTGTTTCAGTCAAATAAAAAAGGTACTTTTTGAGAAAATCCCATCCCACAAGGTATCCATTGATACAATATTTTATCCATGTAATATTTTTCTCCAGTGGTGATCTGGCAAACAGCAATGCTAGGCTATAGGCAAAAAGATTCTACTGGACTAGAGATCTTCTACAGCAACGGGACAGAGTCCTGAACACTGAAAATTTCTGTTTTCTGTGCCTAAAAGTTATAGGAGGACAAGCCTTCTGTAATATTTGTTAGAAAAGAAAAAAGTTGTTGCCTTTCCCTCTGCTGAGGAAACACTCTTCCTCCTGGTAGTCTCTTTGTGAGCTCTGCAGAGCTGGCAGCAGAGATGTAGAGCGGTAACTATTTTTAGCCCGCAAACTCTCATGGATTTTCAAAGGGCTTTTGCATATGGAAAGTAAAAAAAAGAAATGCAAAGTATTTCAGGAAAGGGATAAAGTGATTCATAGCTGGTTATACAGCAGAAGAAGGGAGGGGTCGGTGCTTTTATATTCTGTGGAGAGGGTTGGTTGTGGGAGCCTCAGTGCACCCCACAGGGTCCCCTGCAGCCTCAGGGAGCAGCTCTGGCCCAGCTACCCCAAGGATGAGAAGGAAAACCACTGTGTAAAACAATCCTGCTCTTTCAGTGGCTTGATGGAGGCAGTATGACAAACTTCACAGTTGCTTCTTTGCTGCACCCATCACCTTTCCTGGCCCGTTGGTTGCCCAGCAGAAGGTGTATGAATGTGCAGAGAAGAAAGTTTGTGCTCTGACATGATTTTGATGTGATAGAGGGTGGCAGACAACACTGAAACACTCTGCAGAGGGCTTTCTGGCTCCCTCCTGAGGCATGCAACATCCTGATGAGAAGGGAAAAAAAAGGCTCAGGGAACGAGCATGGCATCTGTTTACATACAGAGTTGAGCATTCCAAGTTTCTAAGCAGGACTACAAAGTAAATTTAAAAACAGTCAGAAAAATCTGGATGATACAGAAACTGGTGAATCAGCAAACAGTGGTCAAGCAGTGCAGCTGAAGAAATCCAGATCACTTAGTGCATGAACATAGCCAAATACAAAGGATGTACATGTAGAAAGACACACAGAATGAGAAGCTCAGCTACATGACTGAGAGTCAAGTGACCAGGGCAACAATGGGGGGGAGCAAAAAGACTATTTACCTTTGATCACTCAGATAGGAACATAGTGCATGCACTTCTAGTGCCCAAATTTTAAAGAAATGAGCAGGAGAGAAAAGAACTGCCAAGAAGAATTCAACTCATTTGAGGAGTTTCAAGCAGCTCTGTTTGCTTTGTTTATCTAAAATGGAAATTAAGTCAGCTTTCCATCTGTAAGTACCTTCAATCAGAAGAAGTACCAAGGCCTACACAGCACTTCATTTAGTGGAGCAAAGCATAAAAGTCAATGGCTAGAAGCTGGCTGAGAAAATAGTCAGGTGGGGAATGAGGCACATATTTTCATCAGTGTAATTAAGCACTGGAACCAAGTGTCAGGGTAAGAGGTAGAGCTGCTGCTCACCAGAATCTCCAACTCAGGACTGGAGGCTTTCTGAGATACTTGAATCAAATATAAGTTATGCTTTAGTCAAAGTCAAAAAGATCACTGCGTTCAGTGCAGGTGACTGAAGGAAAGCTGCAGGTCAGATTACAGACCTTAACAATAACTTTTGATCTTGCACACCTGAAGTTAGGACTCAACAGGAGCTGAAGTCCACATATTTCACTTTGTCATGCAGTGTTTCCACTATTAAGGACTCAACAGGAGCTGAAGTCCACATAATTCCCTTTGTCATGCAGTGTTTCCACTATTACAACCAGTGAGAGTACAAGAGTTATGGTAACTCCAGACTTGGGGAGGGGTGAGGGAATCACTCTAAATTCTGAGTTTTCTCTGCACTGCACAATGCTGTTTATGGGATCTGCAGGTACCTCTATGGGCCAATGCACCAAAGTAAACCACAATGTAATACAAATAATGCACAATGCATCACTGACAGCTGGAGAGAATAATTTTGAAGATTACTGCTTGGTTTTTGCTCATATTTTGCAACTGCTGCTATGTATTGGGGCAGTAGTTGGTTACTGCCTTCTTTCTGCATAGTTAGCAGCTTGGACGTATTTTCTCTCTTGCTATACTATACTTGCTTTTCTGCCATTTAGATTAGTTCAATTAACTTTGCATGGATTTACCCTAAGCCCCTCAAATTGAGGCAGGAAGGGTGCAGCTCCCTAGCATTTACAGATGCCAGAAGTGTATTATATGCTTCTTTTCTCTGCTAAATTCCAATCTGATTTTAGTATCACTATTTGAGGTGTATTTTGGCCTGTGCTGAAAGTTTAGAAGATATGGGTCCAGGATACTTTGTTCTTATCTGATCCCACTCTTCAAGTATCTTGATGCAGCTTAACCATGAGAAGTCCTAGACTTAAAAGGCAAGAGAAGATTTTCACAGAGGGAGTTTCTATAAATTGGGGGTTTCTGTCTTCTTTCTCTCTCCCAGTGGCTGCTAGGTATTGCTGAACTGGAAAAGTTGTTGTTAAGCTTTTTTTTTTTTTCAGCTTTCAGTTGAGGATGAATGGGAAGAGATGCATTAATGCTTCTCACCAAGCTTACAGCAATTTAACAGATACTGTTCAAGGTAAAAGCCAAATTTATTTCAGTTAAAAGTATGGATGTAACTTTGAATAGTTTCCTTAAGGAACCAAAAAAAGAAGCCCCAAAAGGGAATCAGGGTTAGAAGCTGCAATGTCACTTAAAGAACACGACAGATACTGAGTTATAAAAGCATGTTGGAAGTTACTGTGACAAACCACATGATATTCAGGATTACAAGTACATCCCTACCTGAACACAGGTCACCAGACTCGAGATTCATACGGATGAGAACTAGCAGATAATTTTCCAGTGGGCACAGCTATAGGAATTTCAGCTGGAGAGAAATTCCAGTGTTTGATTACTACGACTGCAAGCTTTAAAACCAAGTAGAACTTGAAACAAACTATCACCCAAACAATTTTTATTATTGACTGACAATGTTATATGGCAGGGGATTATTTACCTGGGATGCTCTCCAACTTTCTACGAAGTTCCTCATTTTCTTGTTGCAATGAAATTACCTCCTGCTCTAGCTCTTGACACCGAGGGCAGTAACCTTCTTCCTCCTCCTCCTCTTCCTCCTCTGGAAGTGTAGAAGATGACGGGTGACCATGAGATTCTGATGTTGCTGGAGATGTCCATCCACCTAAAGTGTGTACTGGAGAGGTTGAAAGTGGATCCACATCTGCCAAATGGCTAAAATCATTTACTGATGAGGTGTTCTGAGAAGGGAAGCTCCCAGAAAGCAAATAGTTCTGAAGGGAATCAGTAAAAACTCTCAGAAAGGCTGAGGTTTGTTGTTTCTTTTGCATATACTGCATCTCTATGTCTAAAATGTCTGACGTCTGACTATGAACCATTTTCCCAAGCTGACATTGCTCTTGTCTTTCACTATAATTTGGGTTTTCCTGCTTTATACAAGAAATCATGGACTGAGAGTGATTGTTGTCCAGTAGTTTTCCACCACAATTTAAGAGACTTAGAACCCGGCTGCATTGTTGGGCAAAGGCATCCAGAATCATTCGACTCTCTGCAACAAAAGAAAAGATGAATCACAGAAACCTAATGCAAAAGGTTATGCCAGGCAGCAGCAGCTAGATGAATGTACACAACTGTTTACAGTAGCATGCATTTTATTTCTGAACACATTAAAATTATGGCTTCTGCTTTAATACTCCTGCAACACTGTGATTTAAAACAATCCCGACTTTGCTTCTATTTTGAGAGTGCCCTTGTGCCCTTGCTGTTAATCAGAAATGCATTGTGATGATAGACACTGCTTACTGTCATCTTCTTTCAGAGGGATTAAGTCAGGAAAATGCGGAAGAAAATACAAATTCCATCCAATTTGCTCCAAGTTCAAGAAGTACTTCTCTGAAAACCTACTTCAAACTGCTGGAGGGCATTGTCTGTACACATTTGCAGGACTTCACACCACACCTCTGTCCTGTGCCCTGTTTCTCTCCTACAAAGCTTCCGAGCTTTGTTTTTAATCCTTTTTGTCTCTGCTGCACTTGTTTGACATTGGACTTAGGACACTTCACACAACCCACCCTTATTTCTACGGACTTTGCTTCTGTTCCTTTTGCTTTAGGTTCCAGACATGTCCAAGAACAACTCAAGAGTGGTAAGCACAAAACTCTCTTAAAGGGAGCAAAGGTATCAAATATACAACATGAAGTTCCTCTGGCCAGAGGAGGAATTTTTTCTGTCCTGCTGACCTCCTACAAGTTTGTGGGCAGGCCAGTATCACACAGTGGAGAGCACTGTGGAGGTCTTCAAGATGCTCTGGATACAATCAGGAAACTCTACATGAGGTTGTGCAGGAGTTTCTGGAGATGGCAGGTCAGCTTTGGAAGTGACATAAGGATTCCATGCTGTACCTAGTCAGCCTTGCCTCTAACGTGTCATGTCTCAGGGAGCAACAGCAGCTACAAGCTAAACCTACATAGTAGCACTGTCCATTTCTGCAGTGTCTAAGTATATAGCTCAAGTTGCTGTCATGCTTCTTGGACTCAGAAAATGAATAAGACATGATATGACCTGTTAGGTTCCCCAATAAATAGAATGCCTTTAAAAATGTTTTTTAGCTTATTCATAGCTGAGTTCCTCTAGGTGTCTAAAAAGATGCAACTAACATTTTGCACGAGGGAAAAAAAGACTGGTGGGTTTAAGCGCTGCCAATTTTGGAGAGCACTTCTCAGGCAGGCTTGACTTTTAGAAAGTGACAAACACATTTACTTTTCAAAAGGCAACCTGCTACAGATGCATGAGAGTAAGCACCCCAGAACTTCATTTCTTTTGACTTCATCAGGAGAGAGGAAAACACAGGCTCATCACACTGATAATACATGAGAACAGAACTGTTCACAGTTCAGGCCCTTAGGAGGTGGCACTTCTCACAGTACTTCTTCATGATCCAGGAGATACAGCACCTGGTGGAAAACCTACTTCACACACA